TTGTTTCTGTATTCCTCTCAGTTTTTATTTCCTTATTTATTTCACACTTCAGATTATCCCTAACATAGATTGTTATACAGGCAACATATTTGCAGTTGTTGACCTATCCCCACCCTACTGGGTGGTGTTGTGTTATTTCGAAGTCAAGTGTGAAGCCGACCCACTGTTGTTCTCAGAGTGGACTGATTAGCACCTCCTTGTCAGGAGATGGCGGTCAGTACCCAGCGGTGCTTATCTCACTGGCGGGTCACGGCTCTCACTGGTACTGTCTAGTACTGAATTCACTGGCTTAAACACTGTTCTTAACTGTTCAACACTGGTTCCACTTCTTTCCGAAACGAAATGTCACTTTTGATTATGTTGATATCCCGTTGGTGAGGATGGGTCGGGGAGAGGGACTTGGGGAATGGGCCGAACATTGGCCAAGGGTGAGAGCTGCTCAGCAGGAGCAGCGCCTAAATAGGTCTTGACCCTACGGTGGTCAGGTCATCACTGCTGTACTGTAGGTGGTGATGGGTGGAGGGTTGTGTGTACTGTACTGTAGGTGGTGATGGGTGGAGGGTTGTGTGTACTGTACTGTAGGTGGTGATGGGTGGAAGGTTGTGTGTACTGTACTGTAGGTGGTGATGGGTGGAGGGTTGTGTGTACTGTAGGTGGTGATGGGTGGAGGGTTGTGTGTACTGTACTGTAGGTGGTGATGGGTGGAGGGTTGTGTGTACTGTACTGTAGGTGGTGATGGGTGGAGGGTTGTATTTTCTTTATGCTAATATTTCTTATTTTTTCTTCCCCAAACTCTCCTCCTTTATCCATTTCCTCTCTCCCTCCCTCTCTGCTAATCCTCCCTCACACTCCCTCCTCCAGCCTACAAGATGCGGATGGTGGGAGTCAGTGTGTGGCTCTTCCTCAACTTGGTGTTCCTGGGGATGACGGCCTACCTCTACCTGCTGTGGGTGCAGTACTGGCGCTATGTCGACGCCAACAAGTTCCAGCCTCGCTCTACAAGCTTCCCCCACCACGACAGTGAGTTTATATGTCTACTTCTGTCCCAGTGAGAGGGCTTGTCAATATAGCCAATCAGACACCCCCCTCCTCCCTCACACTCCTCTTCCCCACACTCCACCTTTCCCTCACTAACACCTCTCCTCAACTCCCCTCACTAGCACCTCTCCTCACCTCCCCTCACTAACACCTCTCCTCACTAGCACCTCTCCTCACCTCCCCTCACTAACACCTCTCCTCACTAACACCTCTCCTCACCTCCCCTCACTAACACCTCTCCTCACCTCCCCTCACTAGCACCTCTCCTCACCTCCCCTCACTAACACCTCTCCTCACCTCTACAGATATCCAAGAGATAGAGGTTCGACCTGGTAAACCCAGGTTCTTCCCTCGACGTGTTGAACAACCACCGCCGCCACCACCTGAGACTGTCTACACTCCCACACAGGCCCCCAACATCACCACCACCACGCCCATGACCAAAGAACAGCTGCATCAGGCCATAGAGAAGCATAAGATGGATGTGTTGGTCAGGTTAAGAAAAGCTCAAATGCAAGAGGGGAGTGTATTGTTTAAGGTGATCTATCTATCTACACACATGGACAGTAATGTATTTGTAATTAATTAATATATTTTTTGAATATAAGTATTTATAAATATTTTTGAGTGGATAATTAAGTATTTAAATACTTTTGAGAAAGTATTTAGTATTTGTAAGTACCTATTTTTAAATATAAATTTCAAAGACATTTTTGAGAAATTGTAAATTAAAACTTAAATTAAGGTGCTTCCTGAAAGTTGAGGTACTCCCAGAGAGTGGAAGTCCTACTTTAGTGGAGGTTGTCACAACTACAGGCAGTTTGGCTTTCTTGCCCGAGGCATTAGGCTGTATTGAAGATTGTTTTACATGGGCTTTCCTCATGAGGAATCCTCACAGTGAGCTTTGCACAAGCCATGGGCGTTAGTCGCATTCTAGGTGGTACAAATTGTGGTGTTTGCGTGGGACTTACTCTAGGTCTGCCAACATAGGAAAAAATGGAATATTGGTATGCCATACCCAGGCCCGGATTATCCATTAGGCACAGTAGGCACAGTGCCTAGGGCCTACGAGATATTGGGGGCCTACGAAAAATAATACGAGAACTTTTCTTCCCCTTTTTCTACAGGTTATTATTAAATTGATACTGAGGTACTTTTTTCCATTTATTTATTACTTAATCCTATTAGTGTCCACCAGCTAGCTGTGCTTCTTGTAAACAAAACTATTTCTGTACTGTACAAGAACAGCTGATCTAACCCATTTTCTTTTACTCAATTCATGGCAAACATCACTGAATCTTATTCTTTCGACATCACATTTTATAATTAGGTACTAGCTTGTGTTATTGGTGAATATGCTGTCAAATGGGGCCCCATATCTTGGAGGTGCCTAAGGCCTACTAAAGTCTTAACCCGGCACTGGCCATACCCAAACAGCTGATCACAATTACTGTTAGTTGTGGGCAATAAAAATCAAATAAAGACATACTTAATCAATAGAATTGTCATATATACTGTATTGTACAAAGTACAACTTTTGTGGTAAATTTTCACAAGTTTCCCATAATCTCCTGAGTCACCATGTGTCGTTTCTTGGTGTACAACCGACCTGCTCGGTCCGAGTGTACTCTTGTAGGCTTATGAGATATTGGTTCACACTCAGGATGGGTTGGAGAAAGGAAACTCACAATGTGCTCTCTGTATACATAATGTATTGGATGTACAATGCAGCTTAGTGCTGGGTAGGCAGCATGGTTACAAGCATTGAGTGGAGAGAGCTGGTTGGCGAGGGTGCCCAGAGCCGGTAGGTGTTGAGGCGAATCTTCAGGTGATCCAGTACTATTATCGTATTTATCACTTCATCATTTATCAACTTGTCATGCTTGGTAGTGAGGGTCACTTGTGTCCAGGCCAAGGCTCGAATCCTTTACTTTTCTTTTATCCTCTACACCACTGATCGGCTCGTTAGCCGCTTGGGCGGTCGGCCACGTCTCTGTCACGCACTGTTGGCAAGTACTGGGCATGCACCGGCTCCTGAATGTACCTCAACCCGCTCCAGTGTTGGTCAAGTCTTGTCTTGAAACAGCTCACACTCGGTGCCGTCACAACACTCTCTGGTAGATTTGTATTTAAATAATAAATTCATTACTTTAAAATAAAAATAATTAAATGCTAAATACTTTACAAGTATTCAGAAAGTATTTAAATTCTAATAACATTACTCATAAAATTATATAAATACATTTCAAATACAATTCAAATGTATTTTTGTGACGGCACCGAGTGCGAGCTGTTTCAAGACCAGACTTGACCAACACTGGAGCGGGTTCAGGTACATTCAGGAGCCGGTGCATGCCCAGTACTTGCCAACAGTGTGTGACAGAGACGTGACCGACCACCCGGGCGGCTAACGAGCCGATCAGTGGTGAAGAGGATTAAAAAAAAAAATCCAAAGTATTTAATGCCCATGTCTATCTATCTATCTGTGTATGTTTATCTATATATTGTTTATAAATCTTTACAGCACGAGAATAAATATGGGGTGAATTACCGAGGCCCCAAAATCCGCGGCAGCCCAACTAGGGAACAGCTTCTGTGCTCCTTCCGCCGAGCCTCCTTCAGATCGTTGCGGGACGGGGATGAACCCTTCACCTCTGAGGGTCTGGCCAAACACTTCCCCAGTACCGGACTCCTGGAGGGGCGCTACTTTAACTCCTGTGCTGTCGTCACTAATGCTGGGGCAATCAAAGGTTCCAAGTTGGGCAATTTTATAGGTGAGTAAGTTATTTTATTTGTTATCCGGGTTTATATGTGTGTAGACAGTACAGGTATACAAACAATGTACCTAGACAGTACAGGTATACAGACAATGTACCTAGACAGTACAGGTATACAAACAATGTACCTAGACAGTACAGGTATACAGACAATGTACCTAGACAGTACAGGTATACAAACAATGTACCTAGACAGTACAGGTATACAAACAATGTACCTAGACAGTACAGGTATACAAACAATGTACCTAGACAGTACAGGTATACAAACAATGTACCTAGACAGTACAGGTATACAAACAATGTACCTAGACAGTACAGGTATCAGACAGTGCAGGTAGACAAACAATGTACCTAGACAGTACAGGATATACAAACAATGTACCTAGACAGTACAGGTATACAAACAATGTACCTAGACAGTACAGGTATACAAACAATGTACCTACCAGTGCAGTATACAAACAATGTACCTAGACAGTACAGGTATACAAACAATGTACCTAGACAGTGCAGGTATACAAACAATGTACCTACACAGACAATGTACCTAGACAGTACAGGATATAAGACAATGTACCACAGACAGTATAGACAGTACAAGGTATACAAACAGTATGTACCTAGACAGTACAGGTATAAAGGATTAACGTAATACCTTAGACAGCACAGGCATGTAGACAATGTAACAGAGCAAGCAGGTATATACAAACAATGTGTACCTAGACAGTACAGGTATACAAACAATGTAACAGACAGTACAGGTATACAGACAATGTACCTAGACAGTATATAGGTATGGGACAATGGGAATGTAGACAGTACAGGTATACAAACAATGTACCTAGACAGTACAGGTATACAGACAATGTACCTAGACAGTACAGGTATACAGACACGTACAATGACAGTGCAGGTATACAAACAATGTACCTAGACAGTACAGGTATACAAACAATGTACCTAGACAGTGCAGGTATACAAACAATGTACCTAGACAGTGCAGGTATACAAACAATGTACCTAGACAGTACAGGTATACAAACAATGTACCTAGACAGTGCAGGTATACAGACAATGTACCTAGACAGTGCAGGTATACAAACAATGTACCTAGACATTACAGGTATACAAACAATGTACCTAGACAGTGCAGGTATACAGACAATGTACCTAGACAGTACAGGTATACAAACAATGTACCTAGACAGTACAGGTATACAAACAATGTACCTAGACAGTACAGGTATACAAACAATGTACCTAGACAGTGCAGGTATACAGACAATGTACCCAGACAGTGTAGGTATACAAACAATGTACCTAGACAGTGTAGGTATACAAACAATGTACCTAGACAGTACAGGTATACAAACAATGTACCTAGACAGTACAGGTATACAAACAATGTACCCAGACAGTGTGGGTATACAAACAATGTACCTAGACAGTACAGGTATACAAACAATGTACCTAGACAGTGTAGGTATACAAACAATGTACCTAGACAGTGTAGGTATACAAACAATGTACCTGAACAGTGTAGGTATACAAACAATGTACCTAGACAGTGTAGGTATACAAACAATGTACCTGAACAGTGTAGGTATACAAACAATGTACCTGAACAGTGTAGGTATACAAACAATGTACCTAGACAGTGTAGGTATACAAACAATGTACCTGAACAGTGCAGGTATACAAACAATGTACCTGAACAGTGCAGGTATACAAACAATGTACCTAGACAGTACGGGTATACAAACAATGTGCCTAGACAGTACAGGTATACAAACAATGTGCCTGGGCTTAGTGCGGGTATACAAACAATGCCTAGACAGTACCCAGGTAACCAAACAATGTGCCCTGGGCAGTACAGGTATGCAAACACTGTACCTAGACAGTAGCCAGGTATACCAAACAATATTACCTAGACAGTACAGGTATACAAACAATGTGCCTAGACAGTGCAGGTATACAAACAATGTACCCTGAACCCAGTGCGGGTATACAAACAATGTACCTAGACAGTACAGGTATACAAACGCAATACCCTGAACAGTGCGGGTATGCAAACAATGTACCTGAACAGTACAGGTAGCCTGGCTTGCTGTACCCTGAACAGTACAGGTATACAAACAATGTGCCTAGACAGTGCAGGTATATAAACAATGTACACAGACAGTACAGGTATACAAACAGTGTACCTAGACAGTACAGGTATATAAACAATGTACCTAGACAGTGCAGGTATATAAACAATGTGCCTAGACAGTACAGGTATATAAACAATGTACCTAGACAGTACAGGTATATAAACAATGTATCCTAGACAGTACAGGTATACAAACAATGTACCTAGACAGTACAGGTATATAAACAATGTACCTAGACAGTACAGGTATAAAAACAATGTACCTAGACAGTACAGGTATATAAACAATGTACCTAGACAGTACAGGTATACAAACAATGTGCCTAGACAGTGCAGGTATATAAACAATGTACCTAGACAGTACAGGTATACAAACAATGTGCCTAGACAGTACAGGTATATAAACAATGTACCTAGACAGTACAGGTATATAAACAATGTACCTAGACAGTACAGGTATATAAACAATGTACCTAGACAGTACAGGTATACAAACAATGTGCCTAGACAGTACAGGTATATAAACAATGTACCTAGACAGTACAGGTATACAAACACTGTACCTAGACAATGCAGGTATACAAACAATGTACCTAGACAGTACAGGTACACAAACAATGTGCCTAGACAGTGCAGGTGTACAAACAATGTACCTAGACAGTACAGGTATACAAACAATGTACCTAGACAGTACAGGTATACATGACACGTACCTAGACAGTACAGGTATACAAACAATGCACCCAGACAGTACAGGTATACAAACAATGTACCTAGACAGTACAGGTATACAGACAATGTACTCTAGACATACAGGTATACAGACACGTACCTAGACAGTACAGGTGAGCAAACAATGTACTCTAGACAGTATAGGTATAGACAAATAATGTACCTAGACAGTAATAGGTATACAGACAATGTAATTTAGACAGTACAGGTATACAAACAATGTACCTAGACAGTACAGGTATACAAACAATGTAATGAGACAGTACAGGTATACAAAACAATGTACCTAGACAGTACAGGTATACAAACAATGTACCTAGACAGTACAGGTATACAAACAATGTAATGGTAGACAGTACAGGTATACAAAACAATGTACCTAGACAGTACAGGTATACAGACAATGTACCTAGACAGTACAGGTATACAAACAATGTACCTAGACAGTACAGGTAACAAACAATGCACTCAGACATACAGGTATACAAACAAATGTACTGATGTACAGGTATACAAACAATGTACTAGACAGTACAGGAGCATAAACAATGTAAATTTAGACAGTAATAGGTATACAGACAATGTAATTTAGGACAGTACAGGTATACAAACAATGTACTAGACAGTACAGGTATATGTAAAATAATGTACCTAGACAGTACAGGTATACAAACAATGTACTCTAGACAGCAGGTATATAAAAGAATGTAATTTTAGACAGTACAGGTATACAAACAATGTACTTAGACAGTACAGTATACAAACAATGTGTACCTAGACAGTACAGGTATACAGACAATGTACCTAGACAGTACAGGTATACAGACAATGTACCTAGACAGTACAGGTATACAAACACGTACCCAGACAGTACAGGTATACAGACACGTTACCTAGACAGTACAGGTATACAGACACTAGACAGTAAGAGGTATATACAAACAATGTACTCTAGATATAAGTATACAAACAATGTACTCTAGACAGTACAGGTATAAGCAGACAATGTACCTAGACATATATACAGACAATGTACCTAGACAAGGTATACAAACAATGTACTCTAGACAGTATATATACAAACAATGTACCTAGACAGTATATACAAACAATGTACCTAGATACAGCATATATACAAACAATGTAAATTTAGACAGTACAGGGTATACAGATAATGTACTAGACAGTACAGGTATACAGACAATGTACCTAGACAGTACAGGTATACAAACAATGTACCTAGACAGTACAGGTATACAGACAATGTACCTAGACAGTTAGGTGATACAAACAATGTGTACCTAGACAGTACAGGTATACAGACAATGTAATCTAGACAGTACAGTATACAAACAATGTACCTAGACAGTACAGGTATACAAACAATGTACTTAGACAGGTATACAGACAATGTACCTAGACAGTACAGGTATGTACAGACAATGTACCTAGACAGTACAGGTACAAACAATGTACCTAGACAGTACAGGTATATGTAAACAATGTGTACCTAGACAGTACAGGTATACAGACAATGTACCTAGACAGTACAGGTATACAAACAATGTACTCTAGACAGTACAGGTATACAAACAATGTACCTAGACAGCAGGTATACAGACAATGTAACAGACAGTACAGGTATACAAACAATGTACCTAGACAGTACAGGTATACAAACAATGTACCTAGACAGTACAGGTATGAAGCAAAAACAATGTAATTTAGACAGTACAGGTATACAAACAATGTACCTAGACAGTGCAGGTATACAGACAATGTACCTAGACAGTACAGGTATACAAACAATGTACCTAGACAGTGCAGGTATACAGACAATGTACCTAGACAGTACAGGTATACAAACAATGTACCTAGACAGTGCAGGTATACAAACAATGTACCTAGACAGTACAGGTATACAAACAATGTACCTAGACAGTACAGGTATACAGACAATGTACCTAGACAGTACAGGTATACAAACAATGTACCTAGACAGTACAGGTACACAAACAATGTACCTAGACAGTACAGGTATACAGACAATGTACCTAGACAGTACAGGTATACAAACAATGTACCTAGACAGTACAGGTATACAGACAAT